CATCATCTTCCTCCTGCCCACCCTCAAGTATCTGTACTTCCTGGAGATCACTTGGGACTTCTTCATGGCGTTGCGCCGCTCTAGAATTGGCAGTATCCGATGGCGATACAGTCTAGCTTCTGATGCGCGCCTCTGATGCATGAATGGATGAGGGGATGATAAATGGATAGATGCAGGCCGCGTGCATCGAACCGTTAGGAGTGCCTCACCTCATCGACCGACCGTGGTTGCATCTGCTGCCTGCATGCATGTGAGCTTATTCAACTCGTATTGCCTACTTTATTATGGCTTAATTTGCTATCGTTTTAATTACAACTACGTACCTCTACTACTAGTTCAGTGGCTCAGTGCTTGCAAAAATATTTCCATTGTGATTACTAGACATTCCTGTGATTGAATCTATTTCGTTCCTGCCCAAGTTTAACTGTAATATTCAGTAATAGTACAACTCACACTGTATAAGCATGCATTTAATTTCTCACACATTTATGCAGTGTAGCTAGCTGTTGCTAGCTAGTAGAAATAAAAGGAACCAATTTTTTTAGAGCAATTTTATATTCTTTGAAGAGGTACCATAAGCTACTAAAAATTTAGTGTAAAATTTAGTACCTCATAGTATCAAGGGGTACCAAATATAGTACCAGATCGTATCGTCTTCTTTCCCTGCTTTGTTCTTGTTCTACGGTTTGAACGTTTTACCGGAAGGAGATAGAGGGAAAAGTGTAGGTATGGTTGAGGGTTGAATAGGAGACTAGATCACATGGTCGACGATATAAATCTCTTGCTGGAAATAAAATATAAATTTCAACAGAATTAAGGTAGGAGTTTTTACGTATTCGTTGGAATAAAATGTAAATGTAGAAAAAAATCACATAATTAGGCCAATAATGTGTTATAATAACACAATGTAAATCTAGACTCCAATACAACATAAATCTATAATAAACCACGCAAAACAGAAAATTAAACCCTAGTGCCGTGGTAAACGTACAACATAAATCTACAAGAAACCACGCAAAATAGGAAATTAAACCATGCAGAGAGAGGTTTTACAATGTTAATGCGTACCGTTATACCTATGCGGTACCTTTTATAATTTGGGAGACAATTCTACCATTTTTCTCTCTACTAGCATAATTTCTACTAGCAAAATTTTGTTTTTACCCTTAGTACCTAAGTACCTATATTAATACTTAAATACCTTAACATGGTACCGGTGATTGAGGAGCGTTGGATCTTTACCTTTTTGGAATGCAAACACCGTAAAACCTCTCATTGCTCAATATACAATAGAAAAAGGGCAAAATTTGTCACAGGACACGCAAAAAACGTGTAATTGGCTGAGAGACACCGCGAAAATGTGACACGGCTCATGGACACTAAAAAAACGTGTAATTGGCCGTAGGACACCGGTCGTATTATTTTATTATTTCCGGGTAAAAAAAGGTGAGATATTTATCTAAATGCCTAGATTGCCCTTTCTCTTACCTTCTTTAAATACCGGTGGGTCCCACATGTCATGGATAGCGTATGTTTAATCTAATTTTTAATAGGTTTTTAACCACCTGGGCCCACGAGTCATGGACTAATTTATTCGTAATTAGTAGGGTGATTACTATTTGCTAATCATAAGTGGGGTCCACATCTCTCTTCTATCCTCTTCTTCCTCACGCACGAGGCGGAGCGGAGGAACGACGCGACGGCCCGAGCCGGGACGGCTCGGCGCGCAGCGGAAAAAGCGGCGGCGCTCTGCTAGGGTCTCACCGCCGGCGATGGCGAGGCGCGACGGCCACCATACGCACGGCGCGACGGACAGGTGCGTTGTTGTAACACCCTGAAAATTCGACCAACAAAAATCAAAGTTCCAAAAATATGGGCCTTCAAAAACTTTTTAAATAAATTGCATCATGCCGATTTTGTTCGATTATTTTATTGGATTTTGATTTCGGAGTATGTTGATCGCGAATAAAGAATAGTTAATTAGGAATAAACCCTGGAAGTAAATTGGTAAAATAAATATAATTTAAAATAAATATTAGGTGTGGATAGAAATAAATAAAATATTATCACGATCATATTTGTATCAATTAAATTTAAAAGTGTAGGAATAAGAATTAACCCTAATTAAATTCAAGAAAATTATATAAAAATAAAATATGGGTAAAATTAATCAGGGATGGATCCATTGGTTGGGATAATACACATATTGAGTAAACTTCATTTATGCAAGATTTAGAAATTATAGAATCAAATTTATATGGGAAATAAACTAAAATCGGGATAAATAGGAAAAGTCACTATTCATTGCCCGCTAGGTGCTCGAGTGCGTCCCCTAGCTCTGCCCCCTCTGTCCCGTCGCCGTCGCGCCCGGCGCCCTAGCCGGCCTTGCGCCCCGCGCCGCCGCCGCCCGTCGCGTCGCCGCTGCCGCGCCGCGCGCCCTCGCGTCTCCTCGCGCCCCGCGCCCCTGCCCCGCTGCTGCGCCCGTCCCTTCGCCGCTGCCGCGCCGCGCGCCGTCGCGTCGCCTCGCACCCCGAGCCGCCGCGTGCCGTCACTTCGCCGCTGCCGCGCCGCGCCGCCATCTCGTCGCCCCGCGCGCCCACGCGCCCCGTCACCGCCCGTCGCGTTGCCCGCCCATCGCGTCGCCGCCCCGAGCCGCGCGCCGTCGTGTCGCCCGTCCCGTCGCCGCGCGCCCGTCTCCTCACCGCCTCGCGCCCCGCGCCGCCGCGCCGCCGTCGTTTCACCCCTCCCCCTCCTTCTCTCCCCTTTTCCCCACTCTCCCCTATAAAAACCCCGGCCCCTTTCCCCTTCTCCACCCCACTCCATTCCCTCCTCCTCTCCCTCTCCCCTTCTCCACGCACCGCCACCGTCGTGCCGCCGCGCCGCCACCCCAGTGTGCCGCGCCGTGCGCCGTCGTCGCCGCCGCCGTTGTCGCCGCCGCCGCCGTCGGTGAGCCGCTGCCCCCCCCTGTTTGTTGCCGTGCCGCCGGGTAGAGAGAGAGCCGAGAGAGAGAGATGAAGGAAAAAGAAAAGAAAAGAGTGAGAGATGAAGGAAGAAGAAAAGAAAAGAGAGGAAGAGAAGGAAAAAGAAAAGAAAAGAGAGAAAAGAAGAGAGAAAAAGAAGAGAAAAGAATAAATAGAAATTAGAGGGAGATTAGGGAGGTCTAGAAAATTTAAAATAATTAGAATTTAATTATAGATTAATTATAGTCGTAGAATTGCAAAGTTTCATATAAATTATGGATTATTGTTGGGTAATCTCTATAAGTAATCGATTCACGGTAGAAATTCGGATTTAATTACTAGGGATTTTAGCCGTGTAATATATTTAATCATTTAGTCATAGACTAAATTAAATCGTATAATATTTCTAGGATTTTGTCCGATTTTTAGCTCGCGATAGAAATTTCTAACCTATTATATGGATATAATGCTCGAGTAGATTAAATTAAAAACTTATGACAACAAATATTTATACCCGCAAAATAGTTTAATTCGAAATTGGGTTTGCCTTAGTTCGCGAATAGTAAAGTTAATATAAAGGAATTGACTTTCGCATTCGACTTTCATTTGGATTTATTTGGATTTTTATTTGAATTCTAACCGAATTCAAATCAATTTTCGCACGTAACTATAGAGCCCGAGGGAGCCGCGGATCTAGGTGAAGGCCAAGACTCGCAAGACCTCGAGCAAGGCAAGTCAACACTATTCTTTGAACATGTTGATCCCAATTGCGAAATTGTTTTGTTTACAAATAAAATTGCATGCAATTATGAACATCCTACTTGTGATTATACCATGCCTTGATTATTGTTCACCTTTAAATCTTTGTAACCATAGATACGTACGAGTCCCTAGTCAACTATGACACTTGCTTAGAAATGCTATTTTAGATTCATGCATACTCATATTTATCAAATGCTATATGCTTGGGCAATTACCTTTGGGAAGGTAATTGAGATGCGGCATGTGGAGACATGAGCGCCACATTGCCATGATATTGATGACATGATTTGTGAAAGGAAAATAAAGTAAAACAACTGTTTTCGACTGGGGCGGTTGGAGGACTTGGGTGGTATCCGGAAAAGGCTAGTGTCGTCCCTGGTCAATTAAGGACCGAGCCATGAAGTTAAGCATGAAACGACCCCCGTACAACCGCACTTCTCGTATGGGTATAGACCTAGCGGAGTAGATAGCTGAGCGGAGGCAGTATCCATGCATAGTGGTTTCTTGATGTGTGAGGCAGGGGCTCTACGATGGGGCAGCCATTGGTAGGACCGCAAGGCGGGTGTCTACAGTGGTGTCGCCATCGGTAGGACTGCCATGTGAGAATCTAAAACATAATTATAACTTAATGCATGTGTGAGTCTTCTCTTCCCGGGTGCGCCAGAACTCCTCTCACTGCTAGAAACCGTGTACGCCTAGAGTGCATGAGGATGAAAAGTTCATAGAGCGGGTACTGCCAATGCGAGGTTATCGAAAAGCTTTGCCGTGACGCGTCTCATGTGTTGGGACGAGGCTCATGTGTTGGGCAGTCGCGGAGTGCGGGTAAAGTGTACATCCACTGCAGTGTGAGTAAACCAAATCTATTCGAATAGCCGTGCTCGCGGTTATTGAGCACCGGGACATGTATTACACTTGGCTAGAATCTAAATTCTTAACTTGTGTGGGAGGGGATATTGCATGATGAATTTTATACTGTTGGAGCCACTTCCTGAGAGGCGGGAACGTGGACGTCCTCAGAAAACCATGACGAATCAATGGCGGGAAGCTATCCTTGGGATCACAATGGATGGTGGACAGAACCGTCGTTGTTTAAATACAAACTCTGGTACTAAAATTTGATCAGTCAATGCTAGGTCTTAGGCTTGTGAAAAGAATTACAAAACTTGCTTTGTGCAAAAGAACTATGGCCATCCTTTGAACTCCCCCTTTCATATGCATTGTTGCTGTGGTGGCTTGTTGAGTACGGTTGGTACTCACCCTTGCAAATATAAAATTAATCAGAAGCGGGCGATGAAGCTACGGAGGATCCCTATGCCTACTACCAGGAGGGAGACGAAGACGATGGTGCCCAGTAGGTCTTAGTACGGTCGTTGCCTGTGGCAATGGCATGCCGCTGCCTAAATTCCACTGCCTTATCTAAACTCTGCTTTTGGTTGTATTCCAGACCGCTCGGTCTGATGATTTAAGACAATGCCTGCGGGCTTATGTTGTAATAATTCGTACTAGACTCTCGTATATGAGCATTTGGTATTCCAGCTATGAATTCGTGTGTACCAGACTACTTGATCCAGGGAAATGGTACGGTTTACACGATTGATTCCTGTTATAAAAACGGGGGTCCACAGTCGTGGCGGACAGGTGCGCGGCGGCGGCGGGCAGCTGCTGGTGCGGCTACGGCGTCGGTGGCGCAGACTTGGCCAAGCTCTGCGGCGGCGGCGGCGTTGCAGAGCGGCTGCAGCAGCGGGTGGTGGTGGCGAGCGGCTCCATCGCCATTGTGATTTGTGCATTGCATTTGATCGATTTGTTGCCGTTGATTGGTTTCTTGTTGATGTGTGTGCAGGTTTGAGGTGGATCCATGGCGACGGGTCGGTGGAGAACAGGAGCTGCAGACCGTGGCCTGCGGCGGCAGCGACGGCGCCGTGGGGCTCAGCTTCGAGACGCACCACGGCGGCGGCGTGGCACCTTCGCCGGAGTTCGCGGCGTGCGCGGCGAGCTCCTGCAGCGCGGAAATCATGGTGTTGCTGCTCTTGCAGCGCGGCGAGCTCCTGGTGCACCATGACCGGCCGAGCCATCACCACCGCCGTCGCTTCCCAACGCCGCAACCAGCCGAAGCCGCCGCCGCAGTTGAAGTTGGATGGGGATTTCAGGTACTGAGGCTGAGGGCATTTTCGTCCTTTTGAAATTTCTCTCTCCTCTTTTTCACCGAAAATAATAAAATATTGTCTCGGGTGTCCTACAGCTAATTACACAAATTTTGTAGTATCCATTGGCAGTGTCGCGTTTTTTGAGTGTCTTCTAGCTAATTACATGATTTTTGGATATCCTGTGGCAAATTTTGTCTAGAAAAAGTGGTACCTCATGGTAGCTTTTTAAGGACGGTAAAATTACTCAAAGCTGAAGTACAGCTGATCCTTGACAAATTAGCAAAGAAAGTTGCTGGCTGAAAACCAAAGATGCTATCCATCTACGGCAGACTTTGTTTGATCAAAACAGTGCTCATGTATGCATGTATGTGCTCAGATTCCTCAAGGTCCTTGTGTAATCGTCATTACAAATGACGTATGGGCTCGATCGAGAACTACATGCGTACATTTTTTTTAGGATTAGCAGCGATAGACTGCATTTATTTCTTCAGACTTTGGGATTTAACTTGACGGGCACCATGAGAATGATAGTGCAGTCGTAAGGGGTGATGGTTTTAACCCCGAGATCACGTGTTTAATTCGTTGGATGGTAAAATTACTCTAAATCCTAATGCTGCATGTCCCCTGCCTCTCTGAATGGTTTTCTTCTACATGCATTAATGAATCGACTGTTGATTCTTACAGTTACAGTTTGCCATTGACCATTGTAATTGTAATGCTTAAATGCAGGAGATTCAGTGATCGGTGCCTTTGTCTGCAGTTTGTTCACGAGAGAAAAAAAGAGCAAACAATCATGGGCACTGTTCAATCCCTGAGGTAAATCAAGTGATTCAGATTGACTTTGAGCATCAGCGTCAGAGAGCCACAGATGAGGCAACCTTCGCCTTCTATTGATCCTCTGTCTGTTGCAGCGATTCAGACTTGACAGTTTCAGACTTTCAGAGTCTTTTTGGATGCGTAAATATAATTACCAGCACAAGCTTTCTTCGTTGCTACATGAACGAGAACGGGCTGTGTTTCATGCTGAATTGCTGGAGATTCAGACATTGAACATGTCACGTAACGTACGTCGGAAGCAACAAGGCAAAAGAACACGTACGTTTCAGATTGCATTGGAAAGCTCTTCTCTGCTGCCTCTAGTACGCAATCATGGAGTAGTTAACTGGAGGGGAACACTTTGTGCAACAATACTAGCACAAAGCCAATTCAGTAACCGCGTTTATTAACAAACCCAAATTATGTATGCATGTTTATTTATTGAGTTGGCACCAAACTCCAAACATATCGACGAACTTTACATGGAACATGATCAATTATAACTAATTAAGAAGCGTATCGCCGTTTTGATTCTTGACACCACTGGGAACTGATGCTGTGACGTTCATACAGCAGCATACCGTAGGGGTGACGCCTGGCTTGCAGTAGTATTCTAATCTGTCTCCGTATATCTTCTTGCACGTCTCGTCAGTGCACGCTAAATCTCCTAGGTCATTGCACGTTTGTCTAGCTGCAAAAACGCAATTCAGTTCAACCATCCATGATTCATGAGCCACTAATTGCAAACTAAATTAAAAGAGGGGGGAAAAAGGCATATCATGAACCCCTCAAATTATACAGAGAAAACATATTCAGTGTAGTTTGGATATTTTTTAAAAAATGCAGAGTAAAATTAATAGCTTTGCTGCATACGTGTTAATGCATAGCAGGATGAGAAGGTGGAATCTGCCACGATCAGAAGAAGCATGAAGAAAACCACAGAGATGGAGGACACCATCCTCCTTGCAACTGCCATTATTAAGAAGATAATTAAGTTCTCCTCCTATATGTATTTATGATTTTCCACTCTTCAAGTTCACTGTGCTCGTTGCCATGGCCCTCTGCTCATGTTTATATATATGCACAACCAACTTAATCTTGGAGATGTACTGATGGTTTCTTGCATTTATGCCATCTCCTGCACAATTTATTGTTTTTGTTCCATTTACATATTATTGTTGTAGTTTTAGATAGATTAAACATCCCAAATCTTTACACATTTTATTGTTTTTTCCATTTACATATTATTGTTGTAGTTTTAGATATATGTTCCAACATTAAATGACATAACTTCCTTAAGAAACATTAAATGACTTTATATCTTGTATAATTTATTGCTGTCATATCGTTCTATACATATATTTGTATACGACAATAATATTTTTGGTGGATGTGCTAAATCTGCAAAACATTTGTATATGTACAAATACATGCTTGTTGCCCTCAAGGTTCCATAAAACTGACAAAAACCATTCGGTTTTCACGAAATATTGAGGTTTCAAACCAGCTTGAGTAACAAACCGCTTGGTTTTCACAAATTTTTGAGATTTCGAGCCTACTTGGGTTGACAAACCGCTCAATAAACAGCCAAATTGAAAAAAATTAAATCAAACTAGATTCCACTTTTTTTAAAAAAAAATCTATAACTCTGGTTTTCACTTTTTTCGCGAACATGTAAAAGAATTGCACGTCAATATATTTGAAGAAAAACAATGTTTTTGTTACACAACGCAATGCAACCGCCCAGGCGGCCAGCCCGAGGGCAAGGAAACAAGAGAATTGAAAAAAACAAAGACTGCTAGTGTAAAGAGAGCGTTGCTCCTGTATAGAGGAGAAGTTTTACGGTATTTGCATTCCAGAAATAGTAAAAATCCAACGCTCCATAATAAAAGGTATCATACAAAAAGTATTTAAGTATTAATATAGGTACTTAGGTAGAAAGGGTAAAATGATAATTTGCTAGAAGATGAAAAATGGTAGAATTGTCTATAGTATTAGTTGTAGGTACATAGGTACCGCATCAGTAGTTCATCACCAAATATGCGGTAAGTCATCTCCATCGCCTCTAATTTTCCATTATATTATTTGCATTGTATTTTTTTATATTTGCATATTGTCGTGCCCTTTTCCCGTGGCTGTCTCTACCAGTTTTAATTTTTTTTCTTAGTAGCGACAAAATAATGAAAATGTAGATGAGCCTATACTATGTAAATCTTCGCATGAAACTGGTTATCAATTTATCGCTTGAATTCGATATCTTTTCACGTGCTGACATCTGGTTCGATCCATCTTTTCTGACTGAACCAAATGCATATAGCAGAACTAGATAGAACCCTCTTATCTGAATATCAGTTAATTCTGCAAGAGATCAAGTTACGATCGAAAAGCTTCATCTCTAGCTCTAGCAGATATGCTACCTTGAGACTAGGCGCAGCATCAGTGACATGGAGAACTAAAGAGGTAAAGGCAACGGCGGCGGGCCAGAATACGCCGTCGTTGTCATGATCGTTGCCGGAGGCGGCCGATCAGAGAGCACACTACAGCAACATCGTTAGCGAGGCTGAGGCGGCCGCGGCATCCGATATCTTCTCCCTCGATCGATCTCCGGTTCAAACCGTAAAGAAATATTGAACGAGGAGAAAAAAAACGATCTTGATTTTTCCCCTTGCGATGACCAGATCACCAAATAGATGCAAAAGTACCCATTCAATCAAACAAAGGTATTCACACAAAATCAAAAATACCACTAATTTACTAGTTAATTACTCCCATGCCATCAGTTATAATAATTTTGTTCCCTACCTACCCGTATGTTGATCAACGGCCCATATTGCTCCACCTCTCAATACCTCTATGTACCTTACAAACACCATAAAACATCTCTATATAGAGGGAAGGTGGCGGCTGAGCCCCACAACACTGGAGAAACGCCTAGGGGTATTCTGGCTAGCTCTACAAGGTGGTGGGCTAGACGACCTAGGTTCGAAACCTGACCCCTTCTAATTATTTGATATTAGGTCATTCTAGGTCATTCTCTAATATTCGCATCTTTTTGAGCCCCACTACACTGGTTTTCACAAAAACCTACAAAACCACTCCAAGTTGTCGATCAGCCATCGCTATGGGAACCATTCCGCCATGTTCTAGTCCATCATGTGTGTTGGGCCTGTTGGCTAAATAAATCAATCAAGTCGTTAATCTGGTCCGATTCCAATTGCTGCCGTATATATAGCGTCTATTTGTTGTCAAATTCATCTACATTATTGAGAGTTTCAGACTTTCAGTGTGTCCTCGATTCACACTATGTCAAAAACACAAGCATTCTGCCTGATGTCTTCGCCTGCTTTCTTCGTTTCTACGTTAATGGAGAACGAGTGGTTATTCCGATGCTGAATTGCTGGAGATTCAGCACACCACTACACCAGACACAAGACATGTCACAAACGTGATTTCCTGCATATGCAACAAGGCAATAAAACGTTGCTTGTTTCGTCAGGTACAGTACGGTACACACAGTTATTCAGACTTTCATGCTCTTCTCTGCTGCCCCTTAATTGTTTGCAACCATGGAGTAATAACCACGTTTTCATAATATAACAAAATCATGAATGTTTATTCATTGAGATAGCATCAAACTAACAAATCGATCCGTTACAAATTTGGATGGGAGATGATCAATCAATTTAATTAATTAATTACAAGCCCATCGCCGCTTTCATTCTTGACACTACTGGGAGATGATGCCGGGGCGTTCTTCATGCAGCAGCATGGCATCTCAGGCGGGCAGTAAGTATGACGTTCTCTGCATGTTTTCTTACACTCTTCGCGATGGCGCTGTATTATTGCTTCTCGGTCCTTCATATCTTTAGCTGCAAATGCAACACAATTGAAGCATCATAAGCCACCATTCGCGCAATTCTGTTTTCTTTTTTCAAGAAAAGAAAGATCATCATGAACCACTCAAATCAAACAGCACACATAGCAATTAGTCTGAATGACAGTAAATTTCTGGGTGAGGAATTGGGATCGATGCTTGCCTGCGTAGCAGGATGAGAAGGTGGAAGAGATGATCAAAAGAAGCATGAAAACCACCGAGATGGAGTAAGCCATCCTCTTGGTAGCTGCCATTAGGAGAGATCACTGAAGAAACAAGCTCTGAGCTCTTGTTTGTATGTATCTGCCCTCTTCAGTTTCACTGTGCTCATTGTTGTGCCCCTTTGCTCATGTTTATATAGGGGCACAACCAAATCTTACGATGATGTGTCCTTGCATTTATGCCTTCACAAATCTTTGTATAATTTATTGCTTTTCCATGTGTAAGGTTTATTAATTCCATTTTATATCTCCAGCATTAAATGCCTTTTTTTTTCCTACAATTTATTGTATGCCATTTTATTTTGGATATACACCTATTCAAATATGAGAATAAATTTCCTCTTCAGATGTGCAGGATTTTCTAAAAGGAATGTAGATGTGCAAATTAAATGCGCGTTGTCTTCCTGAATAAATATATAATGCATCAGATAGTTGGGCCGAATGAACTGTTGGGCCGGTATGCAGATCAGTTGCTGGGCCATGCAAGGGAATGTGCCAGATGGGCCGCATTCAAATTAATAGTCTCATGCCTTCATATACTGAAAAGGAATAAGTCCACATTGACTCCCTTAAAAGTGACGTGAATCTAATCCGTGACCCTCAACCGCAAAACCGGACAGAACGACTCCCTGAACTATTAAAACCGTGTAATTTGACTTCCTCAGTGGTTTTCAAGTGTGGTTTTGCTGACATGGCACTGATGTGGCGGTGTTGACATGGTATTCATTCCACCGTGGCGTCTACGTGGCATTAGAATTAAAAAATTTTGCTGGGACCCATTTGTCATTCACAAACACAAAGTTGTAGACCCCACTGACATGTGGCCTCTCTCTTTCTCTTCTTCCTCCTCCTCCTCTCTCCCTTCTCTCTCCACATGTCGATCCCCTTTCTCTTCACCTCGTGACATAGTGGGCAGGCATGGGCGTTCTTGCGTCGGCGCCATCGATCTAGAGATGGTCGGCGGGGAGGGGCATGCCGTCGTCGCTGCAGAAGGGGGGGGAGTCAGAGGTTTCTCGCGGTACGGTCGGCTTGGAGGGGCGTCGGCGGTGAGCGCCGCCGAGGCTGAGGGCGGGGGCGTCATGGACCCTCGCGGCGGCAGCGGCGGGCGCTTGACGTTGACGGCGGAGGCGCTCTATGAGCGGGAGAGGAACTCGATGAGTCGAGCGGCGGCTTCGATGGCGTGTGGCGACCCTGGTGGCGCGGGCGGGGAAGAGGAGGTGGAGGAGTGCTGAGGCAGGTCGAGCGGCGGCTCCGGCAGCGTGCGGCGACCCCGGAGCGGGGATTGGTCTCGCCGGTCGCCGCGACGCTTCCGTCGGGCGTCAAGCACCGCCGCTGGTCCTGCCGGTTGCGGCAACGCTTCCGCCCAGCGCCGAGCTCTGTCCTACTGCCGTCGCCGTCCACCATCGGTCACCGTCTCGTGCTCCCTCACTGTCCTTCGCGAAGAAGAAAAGGAGACCGAGGAGAAGACGAGAGAGACAGAGAGCCATCCCCATCACTGCCGGCGCCGCTGCCCTAAAGCCCCCTCGCCGAGCTCCATCTTGCGGCTGCCTCCTAGAGCCCCTAGAGCATGGCTTGCTGGCGTCTGCTCCTTCCCGTCGTCGTCCGGATGCAGCTCCCGCAAGCGTGGGGCGGCGCCATCGTCCAAGGGCAGAAGTCCACAATAAGCGGGCCAACGGGCAAGTCCTAGGTCGCCGCCGCGCGTGCCTACGGCTCCCTCGAGGTCCGACTCGTCTCCCCAACGCCGCTGCCCTCCCGCCCGCCGCCCGCCACCCGCCACTCCGCCGCCCTCCCGCCCGCAGCACACCACTCCGCCGCTGTACTGGCCCCTGCTCGCCGAACTGCGGAAGGGGGGGAAAGAGAGATAGGAGGGAGAGAGAGCGAGGAGGAAGAAGGGATAGACCCACATGTCAGTGGGCCCCACAAATTTTTCCTTTGTGTGAATGACAA